GGCAAAAGATTCTCAAAAATTCCGAATTGCGAAATTTTCTGCTTTTCTGCATAATGAACATCTAAGAAGTTTTGAGAGACTGCGAACAGGAACTGAACTGCCCTACCCTTACGCCGCTTACAGAAATGCAAAGCTTTGGCGATTTCCTTCTTCAACAAAAATCATGGACCTTAGAATTTCAACGACTATCTAGCTGAGATAGCTCATATAGTCAAATTTGCGTAATGCAGACAATTTCCGTCGAATATGGTGGTTGAACTTTTGGAAAAGCGACATCGTTTGCGCTCCAATTCCAGCCAGAAAAGTAAAAATGAAAATTTGCTTTGAGTGCGGTTAATTTGAAGTTTTGTAAATTCTAAGCGATTAGACTATAAGCCAGTTCCTAGCATCTCATAGAGCATGAGAAGAACTTCAACAGTATGCACAATCGATTCTGAAGAAAGAATTTGATGACAAAAGTTGTCTCAAGAAGGGCCTAGAAAAACTTTCATCGATTTCATTGATTTTGCATCGAGCTAATATTAGAGACACTTGTCTACACTAAGAAAATGAAGGTGACTGTCCAAATATGCTACGCTCAATCGGCGCAGAATTTTTGCGGGAAGAAGTTTGGAAAGTGGGATGTTAAAGCAAAAAGAGCTGCAAAAGTTTAACCTCTCCTCTTTTTTGTAGCTACTTGCCCAGTTTTTATAGTGACTTGGGAGATTACATTACTTTCGCCGATTCCATTAGCTAAACTAGCATTATATTCCCTAGTACAACTAAACGCTTGGTTTTTTAGGTAAATCGTCATCCAAAGCCTGGTCAAAAGGAACAAGAGCAGAATTATTAGGACAAGTCAGCAATGCCATTGCACCAACTACAGACAATAATCTGAAAAATGGCAGAGCCTTATACTGCAAATTTCCTTTATTTGGCGCTGCTTTATCCTGCTTTATTCTTAGGTAATTTCCTAATATATTCAGAGGTTCATATTTATATTAAATTCACAGCTTTTGATGGTTTTCAAAATCGGAACATGAAGACAAACTACAAAGCGCGTAAAAATTTCAAGGACGATGTTACAGCTTCGTGAAAAAACTGAAGCTTGGAGACTTACATCAAGCATAAGTTTCCTAAGCACTTGGCTATTGCATTTCGAAGAGGCCTCTGGAATTGGTGTCGTCGGCAATGATTCTTCCTCTTCTTCGTTTTCATTTTCACTCGCAGAATTGTCTGCCAATGCGTCTTCCTAAACGAAGGTGGTTCTCGTAAACAAAGTGTGGATTTGTTCATTTTACTTTGATATGATAATGAGTAAAAACAAATCTAAACATCATCAAAACAAGTAATAAATAGTACCGTTGGCGTTGCACGTTCTTCCGGTGTTCGTCTCACGCTTTCTTCACTTTCAAGCCTTACGGAGACGTCAGGCGATTCCTGCTAAAATTGATGTGATTTCAAGTACATTACTAGTGATTTTCTTTCGGGCACGTACAACCGTGGCCGTTCCTGAATTTTCAGTGGCAGAGATGGCCTCCTGTCGTTCGACCAACTTTTCAAACTGCTCTAAGTTGTTTGGAGTATGCTGTTGTGCTACTGGAATACCGAAGGCTGCTGCTCTCTAAACGGTGCTTTCAAATTTGAAATGAGTTTAAAATAAATATAGCCTTTTGGTCCTACCATTTCCAGTTCGTCGGGTAGAGCTATCGGAGCAGTTTGTACATGATGCGTTGTTACTCCATAAATTGGTTGACAGCCAGGTTGCGGAGGACATGACGGATTAGTTGGGGGACAACCACATGAGGGAGCTAAGTTATAGTACAGAATCAGAAGGCGGGAACGAGAGCATGGAGAAATTGACATTGTGTGCAAGACTCTACTCTATATGTTTCCCTTTTTAGTGCGCCTATGACTGATAGGTTTTTGGCAGTGCACGCTCCTTA